GTCGCCATCTCATCAGAGGATTACTGGCAAATCAACAATAGCTCTTAACTCAATATAATATACGCACAATGCAAGTAATAATTTAGACCCTAACTAGCGCGAGAAAATGAGAGCTGAAAGAAACATTACATCAATCAACGATATCAGGTGACAACAGATGTTTCTTTCAGCTCTCATTTTCTCGCGCTAGTTAGGGTCTAAATTATTACTTGCATTGTGCGTATATATATTGAGTTAAGAGCTATTGTTGATTTGCCAGTAATCCTCTGATGAGATGGCGACGAAAACGTTTAGGAACAAGCTTCTTTATTTACATGAAAACAAGTTTTGCTAATGGTGTTTGTACTGAGTGCGCAGCTTCCTCTATTTATTGCGTTGAGTATTATTATTATTATTATTATCAAATTTTCGATAGGGCAATCCCCACAGGCCTAAGGCTAAGGCCTTCTTACAGGGTAGATCTACCCTAGAAATGAAAGTACTGAATTACGGAAAAGGTGCAGTGAAAGAGCATAAGCGGACTGCAGCGGGGAGTGCATTCCAACGGTCGGAACCGATAAAAGAAACTGAAAAGAGACCGAAACGAGTTTTCTGGTAAGTTTCATGCATGTTTGGTATGTGGATAAAGAAATGGAGCAGAACTCGGGGAATTGCCCGCCATAAGGTTTGTATGGTTCTGCCAATTTCACTGCTTTTCGAGCAGAATCTGCCACCTTTTCGAGCATTATCCGCCAATGAAATAATGGGATGGTCTAAGACAGGCCATGAATCCATGATTGAGAAACAGAGGGTATCAGGTTCCAGTCATGCTTGGAAGCGGAAGGATTTCTATGAGGAAAACATGGATGCAGTGACTGGGAATTTCGGCGTTTGACCACTTTGCTGTTGGGCTCATCTACTCACCTATCGTAAAATACCGGTATTTTACGGGGAGTCGTAAAATACTGCTATTTTACAGGGAGTCGTAAAATACCGGTATTTTACGACTCCCTGCATATAATGCACACCACCATAGTGGACGCTGACGAAATCGTGAAAATAAATGGGGGAAAAAATCGCAGCACCGGAAACTACTCCCCGCTCTCAACACACACGAAGAAACAACTCCGGCACAGCGGCGGCATCCGTTGAAGGAGAGGGCCCTTAACAATTCCATGGTTCGCTTGAGACTCGGTTTTCAGCATCCGAGACAACACCACCACCTTGCAAAGATCGAAGGCGCAGATGCAGCTCCTGAAGCAGAGGGAGGTGAGTAGATTAGTCCACCAGCAAAAAGCTCATGTAGCGCCTACACACCCATTGTTGTTGTTGTTGTTTTTTTGTCTTGGTTTTTTTGCAGGTATAATAATAATAACTTTATTAGGATGACCCAAAGGCAAATTGCTTATCGAGGGGTTCACCGCATTGAATGGTTGTGGTATGACAAAGCAAAGAGGCGTTTCCCCTTCTTCCGTAGGTATGTGCAATGTGATTTAAAACAAATGGTCGAAAACCGAAAACTATGCTGCATCCATGCTTCCCTCGTGCCAGGCCACCGAATTCCCAATTAATCCTTCCACTTCCAAGCCCCTTGGGAGTAGTAAAATGCCGGTATTACTACTCCAAATTATTTGGAATGAGGTAGTGACGCACCTCTAGCTCCTCGGAGTTCATGTCTTCCTCGACGCGACAATGGTCTAAACTTACTGTCAGTACCTTCAACGTTCGCGGCCTATCATCAGGCATAAAGAAGCAACAGCTGGCTTCCGATTTGCAGCGCTACGACGTTCAAATTTGTAGCTTGCAAGAGACGAAAATTCAAAATGGATTTGACGATGTTATTGGCGACTACCGAATATTCTGCCTCCCTTCAGACTCCCGACATTATGGCCTGGGGTTCTGCATTCATCGCTCGCTCTGGGAGCGGGTGCATCGCGTTTGGAGCGAGTCGGACCGTGTTGCAGTTCTGCAGATTCGCTCGTCGGAAAAGTGCTTTATCTCCATCGTCAACACTTACGCTCCGACCTCAGCGAAAGTCGCACAAGACCAGGGCTGTTTGGAGGACTTCTACTCATCGCTTGGCACGGCTCTCAGTAAGGTACATTCCTCCTCAGTTATTCTGATTTCGGGAGACTTCAACGCCAAACTTGGTGGAATGAGTTCTCAGTATCGGTGCATAGGACACTACGGACGCGGGCGACGGAATTTTAGCGGAGCTGTCCTGGCCGACTTCTGCGACGCACATCATCTCTTCGCTTGCAACACTGCGTTTCAGCATCTAGCGCGGCACCAAACAACATGGACTGGCTGGAGAAAAGGACCTCAAGATGGTGTGTCTATCCCTATATACAATCAAATAGATTATATATTCTGTCTTCATCGACAACGACAGCTACTTGTAGACAGCCGGTCATATTCTGGTACGCTGGTGGAGTCTGATCACCGACTAGTGGTTGCAAGACTCGATCTCTCTCGCCTACGCCATGTGTGGAGCTCTGTTGAGCACGGTAAGAAGCAGCGTGCCAGCCAAAGAATACTAGTTGGTGGCCTCTCGGACCCAACCATGCGAAGGAGGTATTGTGATGAGCTGGAATCCTCTCTCACCGGCAACCGGCTCGACAACACTAATTGCCCATCAACTACCTGGAATGGTATTCGTCAAACGGTGATTACAGCAGCGCGGAACACTCTGGGCGTTGCTGCACCCAGCAAGAGAGGTGGAAAGTGGATCATGGACGCCGACACGCTAAAAATGTCCTGTGAGAAGCGTCGACTGAGACACCGGATCCGTGATGAAAAGAATGCCGATGAAGTTAGCATCCTAAAGCAACAGCGCAACAAACTCTCCCACATGATCCGACAACACGCCTGTGCAAATGCAGCCAGCCATCTAGATGAAAAAGCTCGTGAAATTGAAAATCAAAAAGACGGAGCCCAGATGTTCCGTGCTGTGCATCTACTGCAGCGCAAAAAGCAGTCGCCGATAGTGGTGAATGATGCCAGCGGGAAACTGGTCCTTCGCCCGATGGAGTCAGCTTCAATAATCAGAAATCACTTCTCAGCAGCCTTCGCTGATTCCACCTGCGCACCTCTACACCAAGAGAAGAAACCTCTTGGGATACCGATAAGCGAGGTAGAAGTCAGGTCAGCAGCACGACGCCTAAATAACGGCAGAGCGATTGGACCCGACGACCTACCTGCTGAACTTATAAAATATGGCCCAGCACCGCTTCACCGTCACCTTGCCGATCTATACACACGTGCCATCAACTGTGGTGATCCGCTGTCAGTTGGCCATGGAACTCTCGCCCCACTTCAGAAGCCTGGGAAGCCTAAAGGTCCACCATCTAACCTGAGGCCCATTGTGCTTCTCACTGCACTTCGGAAAGTGCTGTCCATCATTTCCCTAAATCGCATCAGGCATGCAGTCAACACGTTTCTGTCTCCGAACCAGAGTGGCTTCCGCAGTGGTAGGAGTACGGCTGATGTTGTTTGGTCCTACAGATGGATCGCGGCACGGTGCCAGCGAGTGAAGGAATCATTTGGCGTGCTCGGCATAGACATGTCGAAAGCGTTCGACACAATATCCAGGCACCGTTTGCTCACTATATTAGCTAGCTTCCTTGAGAATGATGAGGTCACCATTATCTCCTACCTACTCAGGAACACGTCCCTTAAGGTCCGGTTACCTGGAGGGAAGAGCGAGCAGTTCCAGACCACCCGAGGCACACCACAGGGTGACTCACTATCACCTGTCCTATTCGTTATCTACCTGGAGGCAGCGCTTCGGGAGGCGAGACAGATTATCTGCGCAAGACCCGACCTGGATGTCAGGCTCGGCTTGCCAACTGATACAGAGTACGCCGACGATGTCGACTTCCTATCGTCTGACTGCAAACGTATTCAAGAGCTCCTGCCCGACATTGCAAAGAGCCTCAAAGCCTGGGACCTCAACATCAATGAATCTAAAACAGAACTCACAAACATCACACGGCTGAACGACAGAGTGTGCGAGGAATGGCGCCTCACTAGGAAGCTGGGCTCCCTCATTGGTGACCACGAGGATGCTGCGCGGAGAATGCAACTCGCCACAGCTGCCCTGCACCGGCTCTGGGCATTATGGATACGTGGTTCCATTGTAAACGAATCGTTGAGAGTACGGCTATACAAGGCATTCGTCTTGCCGGTCCTGTGCTACAACAACGGAACTTGGGGCCTCACTGGCACCGCTATGCATAGAGTTGATGCGTTCCACAGACAACAACTGCGGAAAGTTATTGGCATACGGTACCCAGCTAAGATCAAGAATAACACCCTGTACAAGAGGACAAACTCAACACCACTTGGTATCTCGATCCTGGGAGCCCGCTGGCGTCTGTTTGGGCACGTGCTGCGGCTGGACCAGAGTGCACCGGCGAACCTGTCAATGTGTTCCTACTTCAAGCCATCCACTGAGCCTACCTGGAGGGGCAGGCCGCGCACAACTCTGCCGGTCGTGCTCAGACACGATCTCGAGCTGGTTGGGAGGACCCTCAAAACCTCGGCAGATCTTGAGGAGCTGAGGAGCATCGCCCAGAATCGCGGGGCGTGGACCTACCTCAGCAGCCGTATCCTGGAGAGATATGTTGCTGCTCACAGATGAACCCTGATAATGACCAGCAAATTCAAATTCAACTCGGTTGAGCTGCTCGTTTGCTTGTTTTAATTGTATTCTATTTTCGTCACGCGTTTTATATCGCATATGTTTTATATCGCCATCAATATCCTGTTTGGCTTTTGTCGCTTCGGCTTATGCGAAAGCTATACATGCTGTGTATATCTACATTGCATTGATGCCAACGCGGAGAAGCTTCTAATAATAATTACTACTCCCCGCTCTCAACACACACTACGCATACACACACTCACACACACACACACATGCACGCGTGCACACACACACACACACACACACACACACACACACACACACACACACACACACACACACACATAAAGAAACACTCCGGCACAGCGGCGGCCATGTTTAAGGCTTGATGCCCTCTCTAATAGTACTACTGAGTTCAAGTAATAGACGCTCTTTGCGGGAAATAAGTCAGCAAGCGAGTACGAAAGAAAAGAGCAGACATAATGCTACCCATAGAGAAAAAAAGAATTTCAATTTTTTGCAAAGTTGGCAAAAGAAAAAGAAATGAAGAACAACGTAGACTGCGCATCAAGGCACCGAGAAGCGGAGAAATGAAAGCGCAAAAACGAAGAAGATGAAGAGGAAGAAGAGAGAACACGATTGTTTTCGAAGACGCAATGACCAAACGCTATTATTCGAGTCAAAGGCTCAAAGGCAGCTAGTTGGCAGAGAAACCAGCAGGGAGACGAAATCAGGGGGCGGGGGCAAGATGCTTCTAGCGCGGGCCAGTTAATTGGCTCGGCTAGAGACGCTAGTGATCTAGAGCGAGGGCTTGATCAGGCGTGGCGGCCAGAGAGGTGAAAATATATATTTAAAAAACGTACACAAAGGAATTGAAGACTGAAGAGCAGTCTAGAGGTGTGGAACAAACTATTTTGAACACTCTTCTGCATGGGTTGATGTGCGGGGGATCTGTTTGCACGCTCCATTTTGTCGATTGCAAGAAACACAAAAATTGTAACAAGCTATTTTGTTAAAAAAAGAACGAGCAATTCATAGTGGGGGGACAAGCTCGGCGGGTTTACACTGGAAAGTTGTCGGAAAATAGTCTAGCGTCGACTAGCTGCAATGCCCGCCCGTGCTGACACGATATTGTGTGCAGCACGGGAGCAAACGCAGCGGCGAGACAAGACGCTTCCTCTAGTTTCGGGGGAAAAAAAGTTCCTACGCTCGGTGTCCGGCGGACTCAGGATAATCAGCTCATGCAGAGCATGTGCTGGCATAGAGAATTAGACGAGTTATGCTTCGGCAATGGATTCGACGTGTGGGTCAGACACCTGACGTGGACCGTGAGCGCTCGCGCCCGTCTACCAGTAACGTGCGCAGGTAGACTTGCCCAGGCACCGGGCGCTCTCGCCAGGCACGGTATCCTCCGTGCTTGACGTCATCATCGTCGGTGTTGGTTGTGCACGATGTCATCGAGGTGTTTGGTGTGATGTCATGATGATGTCATGGCGATGTCATTGTTGTTGTCTAGTCGAATTAGCTGTCCATCTATCGGACAGGCTACTGCTGATTACACCGTGATATTCAGAGATGCGAACGGCAGTGGAGATGTTGACATTGTTGTTTTGGTCTTATATTGCTGGCTGTGATGAGCTGAATCATTCTGGCTATTTTACCTGCACACACACGCACAACATGTGAGCATGGTCGCAAAGACACAAACAGCGGCGGACAGAGATTGAGTGTGAGAAGTGAAGTCTGCACTGCAATTGCACAGTCAGCTTGCTGCAAGTCGACAGGTTTTCGGCGCGTTTCAATTTCGGTCTCCCAGGGCTAAAACGCGTTCGGCCCTCGTTAAAATGTCAGCCTGTACCGCTGCTGCCTGTATCCACTGTCACTCTGAACCTTGGAAAACAAACTTTCGGTCGCAACAAATTTTAGGCCGAAAATGCCCAGGCCGGAAATAGCCGAAAATAGATACATGTATGCGCCGAATATTTGCTGACATGCAGTACTCAGCTAGACATGTATATAGAAGCCTTGCTTGGTAGTTTAACATGTTTTTCGATTCCGACGGCATGTTACAAGGCGAGGACAGGAGCCCTACGCGTCCTCGCCGCTTGTAACATGCTGTCTAAAATCGAAAAACATGTCAAGCTACTCAGCTAGCATTGCAGGAAGTGTGAGTGTTCGGCGGGTGACAATTGCTGTTGCACACATGCGGGACACGTGCACGTGGACAGCCATTGCACATACGTTGTACAGATACACGTGCACAGATGTTGTGGACACACACGCAGTACATAGACACATGGACAGACGGTGCACATACGTAATCCATAGGTTAACGAGAAGATACATCAGCGATCTTGCAATCTTCAGGCATATCCGCACATAACACATACTATTATCTCGTTACCTTGCTGGACTGTTAGTCATGACTCATAAGTCATAGCTATTGTCGTGGACATGGAAATCCGGTCACACGTCTAGCGGCCCCAGGGCGCTGGCCATGCAGCCGTGGATAAGCGGTACACACGTGCATTTATGCGCATGCATGCAGAGCGCTGGTCGCATCGGATCAACATGTGCACTGCACGCAGCATTCTGTACGAGCTGAGGGTGCCGGCCCCGGTCAATCGACTGTATTGCCATGTCCGCTACCGTAGTGACGTATGGGTCCTTTTCTCTTGACATGTTAAAATAGTTCCTCGTTATATTGACATGCCTTACGATAGTGGAAGGGCACTTTCATCTTCAATTCAGGGTGTGAACACAAATTTCAAGCGATGGGTTTCGCTTGACTCACCTTCCATCACATACCCCACGGCTCCCATCGTACGGCTAGATCAGGGAGTGTTGTCGTTTTCCGTTTGGCTGTATTCAGGGGACTACATAATATGAGAGAGAAGAGTACATATGCACACATACGGTATGACATGCTATTTTCGGTGTGACGCCGGTAATTTTCGGTAGAGAAACCAGGCACCTAAAATTTAGATTACGCCTCAAATTAATGGCAGTGGAGTATGAAGGATGTATGTGCAGGGAATGCTGGTCACCTATTTCCACATTACACCTGAAACCGGGCAGGTCCCTGACACCGAAATTCTAGTATACCTAAAATTGCATGTTATTACCAAGCTAATCCGGGAGGTCTGAGAACGGGCACTTTTTATTTTTTAAATTATTTTTTTACTCTAAACATGGAGATGTCCGTAACTCTGCATTACGGTCGTTTCGATGGGAAAGGCCAGAGATACGGCATCCGACGCTACTATTTTCACACAAGAGTGACACAAGGGTAGCGATTTGTCCGCTAAAATTCGCCCTGACGGTGCCCGGCAGACCGAAGTGCCCGTGATTTCGGTGTCCAGATATCCGAAGTATCAGTGTGTACAGTGCTGGCTGCCGGGTGCAAAAAATAACGATGTGCCGAACGCGGACAGGCTATGCCATGACTAAGCAACACCATCTCCACTGTAATCCGACATGCCACGAATGTATGGGTCCTGGTTCTAAACTCCAAAGACCATCTGGCTTTAACAACCGCTTTTGCTTGCACTAGGCATATGCGGATAATGCCGGCAGAAAAATTGGCAAAATTCGGTACTTTTTCTGGTAAGTTTCATGCATGTTTGGTATGTGGATAAAGAAATGGAGCAGAATTCGAGGAATTGCCCGCCATAAGGTCTGTATGGTTCTGCCAATTTCACTGCTTTTCGAGCAGAATTGGCCACCTTTTCGAGCATTATCCGCACACCCCTACCGTAGAGTGGTCTGGATATTGTACATGGTATATGTGACCGACTCAGACTAAACCGCAGGTCCCCCCCCCCCCCCCCTGCCCCAATCTTCGCGACAGTACAATACTGTATTCAACAAGAAGGCTTAGTTAGCGAGGAAGGGGGGGGGGGTACGGATTAAACACACCCACACGTAACTGACGTGAGAGCTGAAGCTGTTGAACGCTGTGCACAATGTTCCCTACCTGGTAGTCTCCTAAAGAGGCAGTTTCTTTCTGTGTGCTATCAACGTCTGTGCTGCTGTCATTACTGCTTGCTCCACCAGACATTGAGCTTGGCTGTAGGCAGTGCACAAGAAGATACACGCACATACATGTACACACGCGCGTGCGCACACACACACACACACACACAAACACACGGAGCAATGACAACACACGAGCCATGTCAGGGGAAGATCCAGAGATCTCTACAGGGGGAGGGGCCGGGTTAGCCAAAATTGGATAGCTGATACATATACATGTACAATGTACATGTGTAGGGTTTCCGGTAGTACATTTGCGAAGTTTAGGGGTTCCCCCCCCCCCCCCCCCCCCGATCACCCCTGCATGTTTAGTTCTAGGAGACATGAATCTATCGTCCGATGTTCTGCTTCAACTACTGTAGCTGTGATGCACAAACTCTTTGCACTTTGATCTCTCGCTACGCATGATGGCATCTGTGAGCCAAACAGCCGCCAACGGCTGGCGTGATAAAAACATTTCCGCCGTAGGCTGGGGGATCGTCGAGTTGCACATTCTCGGCTCTGTACTCTTGATAACACAGTACTGGCTGGCGATGAAGAACGATCAGGCTAGAATTTCACCAAGCAACGCAAGTTCCTAGAATTAAACATGCAGATGGCGATCCAGAGGGGGGGGGGGGGGGGGGAGAGAGTTAATATCCCAGGAAGGGCTGACGTAGTGGTCAGCAAAACCTCCTACCTTGTTGTCATCGGTGTCGTAGCGACGCCGTTTTGCTACGGGGTACAGTCCGGTCATAAGTTCAACGCGCTGCATTGACAGGCACAAACCAAGAATTGCAAGTACACACGCGTGCACGCACACACATGCATACCCAAGTACACACACACACACACACACACACACGTGCACGCACACGCGAGCGCGCGCGCACACACACACACATACATGCGCATATATTATGCACAACATGCCATTTTGACAACTTTTAAGGTTATTGCAGGTACCGTAAAGTACCGTTGATACACCCCCTCTCTAATTGCCGCCCCCTGTCGATTTTCTACCCGTGAAGCGACTTCGGCGTATACAACGAAATTCGATGTTGAACCGACGCATGCACTGCTGTACACCATACTTGCCAATGCAGGATGACAATGTGCACAGTCCAGCACATCGAGTCCGAACTGCCCTTGTGGAGCTGGGCTATAGTCTCTCCACCAGCGCGCGGCGCCCTCTCCAACTTGGCCCGCCTGCCAGGGCGAACACCTACTTGCGTGCCACTTTCCTCTTTGTTACCGCTGCCACCTTGAATTCTCTCCCCACTGACATTAGAACCACCCAAAATAGTCATTGCTTTGTATCTCGCGTCCGTACCATCTTTGCCAACACCCGCTTTGAACCCGCTGGTTTCATTCCTTCCAGAGATTCTATAACATAGTAACGAATGTTATGGCTGATCTCTACAGTATGCATTTGTTATAACCCTTCCTTCTCAATCTATATGTTATAATTTTGCAGATATATTCCCAGTAAGCCATGAACGGAGACCCCCTCGACTTAGGCCTCGGCCTTTGGGGAATCCATAAATTTAAAAAAAAAAAACTTCCACGTTCTTGCACATCATTGTGCACTTGACAGCCTTGATCTAATTCCCGCCCCCTGCTGAAAGCCCAGCTGGGAAGCGACATAGCGAGGGGGCGGATCAACGTTACTTCACGGTAACATAAAGTTGTCTCTGCATCTACCATTCAAAACGTGTGAATATTGTACAGAACTGTCACATGTTACAGGTGCAGTATTGTCAGAATGACATGCTAGGTCGCTTGTTATCTTGGTGCGGTGTGCATTACTGCTAAGCATTTCACGAGTGTGATATTTATTTTTGTCTACTCGAATGCGTTGGTGTTTTACATTTACATAACGAGTGCATGTTTGTTACATCTACGAGTAGTACCATACGATGTGTTTACGTCGAGATACATTTACGATACATTGATTGCGTGTTCGTCGATAGTACCATGACATGTTCACGAGCAGAGCATCTTGTGGTTTGTGCTTTGTACAAGTAGAATTGTTGACACGCCAATTAGTGGAATTGCACTTACTTGATTCGTTGTATTATCGCTATCCGCGGCAACTCCGCTGCGATCTATTCTATGTTGCAGAACTTTCCTCGCTGCCAGGTTGTGATGTCACCCTGTCGCTGGGTGCAAGCACCCCCTGACAGACAACGTTTCACCTCCGTCCTTCATCTTTTCACTTGAGTCAGCAGATATT